ATCGTCAGAATATTCCAAGATTTCTAGAACATAAAATATAAATAAATTTTATGCTTAACTTTAACGGACTCTTGATATAGTAATGACACAAATTTTTATCAGCCTGTCCGTAATAAAAGTCTTAGCGGTATACTGTTCTAATCTTAAGAAAAAAAACAACCTCTTGTAAAAAATAAACTATTATAGTTTTTATTACTGTGTAACAGGAAAAAATTCAAATTAATTGAGGTGTCTCTTAGACGCATCTCTAAGATATCTTTTAGATGTTTATATTGCCTAGATTTTTTGGGGAAAAAAATTGCTGATGTATATAGATCGACGCAGAAATTAAATCCCGTGAGGACACTCATTTTCCGATTTTAGCGAGAAAACGGAACTCTGTTAGACGACTGGAACTATTGATGTATGCATGATACTTTCATCTACTAGCACTTTAACGACCGCAACTATCTTCTCGAATACATGCAATGTCATTGATCGCCCGATCTGCTATTTTCGCATCGTATCCAACACGCAAGATCTGGACTCGCGAGGCTTCAGAAGTTGTATTTTAATGCGACGTATGTATCATAGCGCGGTAACATGTTTAATGCAAACTTTACCTACCAATTACATAATCTCGCGAGCGATCGAAACCAATCGTATCGGAATACTCTCGGGGTATTTGAGCGGTCGGATCGCAACGTACGTTTTTGCCAAACGATATCCATTTTCCGGATAAATTTAAGTCGATATCTCTATACCACTGACTGGATATAAATTGCACATAAACCTATAGCGAATCACCTATATTTGTGACTACAATCTGGATCACGCAATAGCTTACCACCATCCTGTCACAACGTATTACTTCCGACGTATTGGTGCTCTTATTATTATATATCTTTGCCCCAGCCATGTAGACTTTAATTAATAACGTAATCATCTAATGTCAATTATCAATCGCGATATTCTTTCAACATGTCCGATCAGATTGGAAAAGTACAAAGATTCAGTAAAGACGATAGTCGTTTCTTTTGAGTTCAAACTTGAATTCGCGAAACCAACGATTAACAATTCGTTACCTTGCTTCACCTCCATTTAGAAACGTTGTGCCATTTATAGGAATGATTAGGATCAAAATGCCGATAATGTATAAACGCGCCCAGAATTTCGCGTCTCCGCGCTACTTTCTAATTAGCTCGACAAGTTCACTTATTATCTAAAAACCAGACTCTTCAGCGTATTACAGACGTCCTTGCGAGATAATTGCGGGCGCGGCACTTTGCATATACGATCGTTCCACATTTCAAATAAAATCGCTTTTCCGGAGAAGGTCGTTACCGACGCGGAATACGAGACAACAGGCATAAATCTTTCAGGGGGGTATCAATTTCGCTCGAAGGCCATAACGAGCTTATGACTTCGTGGCGTTTATCGCCACGTGATAAAAGAACAGATGCGCATTTTACTTTATTGGATGCGCAACGGGAGGGAAGAAATGGTGGAGATTTAATTACACGCGGTTATGCGTAAAAGTAACATGCATCGACGTTTTTTATGACGATGAAAATGATACGTTTCGTTAAATAGCACGAATTTTTTTCTAATTCGCTCCGCAGTAAATCGCGAAATATTTATGATAATGAAGCCATTAGCCTCGGAGTTAAGTACACGTTGTTTCAACGATTACGTCCTGCAGTTTCTTTCATAGTCACTATTATGGCGGTAGACTGAAAATGGAACATAATGCAAGGTGCAACAGGAAAAATCGATATCAATATATGTTTCAAACACAGGCATTATAATGCAAGTCGTATTAATAATGCTCGATGTAATTGCTGTAAAATGTTCTGCGTGGAAAATATGGTAAATATTTCTGGCAATATTTTTGTTTCCTTTATTTTCGATTCTACAATAAATTTCCGTGAGTTATATCAAATAGAGAATTTGAATTTATTAAATACTCCATGATAGCAATGTAAAGTTAGTTATTCCGTGCATTTTATGATTTTTATTCGAGTATTTCTATTCGAATCGCTCGACGATGGATCTGGAAGATCAGAATAGGGATATTCGTGGCTTGTAAAAGCACATCTTCAACGTTGCCATAATGAAGTTTAAAGAATTTTGAGTTGCAAAAGAGAATATATCTTCTAAAAAAAAATTACATTCTAGAAGATGAGGATGCAATCCATGATATCACACAGCTCCGAAGTTATATCTAAAATTAAATCTTTGCCAGGTACGGCGAACGATGGTCATGGTTGAAGAAAAAGGGCTGCTGCGATACTTTTGTCATTATCTACATCGTTAAAACTTTTACCTGATTCTGATCTACCATTACGCTATTACGTTCGCCGATTCGAATATGCTTATTCGACCCGAGCTCTGCGACGTGGCTTTTTCTTCCTTTTTTTTGGTAACGAAACGACACGTACGCAGATTGTTTCGAACGGTTAAATTTTAACTGGTTGATTTGATTAAAGCGAACGCGTCCACCGATTACGTGAGATTTCCGTAGATTGATCATGTGCCTGAATGTCTCGTAATTATAACTAGCTTAATATTATGTACTTTGATGTATCGAGTGTATTTGCGCGCATTCCGCGGGATTAGTAATCAACGACTTTCAAGAATACATGATTCGATTCGCTTAAATCGCATTCATACTCTTCTTTCTTTTAGGCGATCACAGCGATGTTATAATCTCTTAATACGCAACATTACGATTCTATATGTTGACCTATTTAGGTTTGTATTCGTTCGATATTACATGCGTGTTTCTCATTACGCAATTTATAGCAGTATATTTGTAACTTAAATTTGTAATCTTCCTGAAATTATTTTTATAATTATCCAAAATTATGATTATAATTTTTCGAAATTATTTCTTTTGTGAATAATTCTTTTTCTCATAAGGGCTCAATTTGCCTATTTAGGCAAACCAATCATTCATTGTAAAACGTCATTGTTTCCGGACGAAAATCGACTCCGAAAGGGTTAATAATGTATCAGCTATTGAATCAGCGTGATTATTTTGATGCGATAAAATCGATAATGCGATGTATTGAAGCTCCAAAAAAAGACAGATGAACTGACACTGTAGTTTATCTTATAAAATCGGCGGATTGGTCAGACGAATATGTTAAATGTTGTTCTTGTAATTGTAATTTTGTATTTTAATTAGTTCGGTAATGCGCGACAGAACCCCGGCGGGAATGTAAATGTTCAAATGTCAATTTGAGAGACGCGCTCTCGTCGCGAGCACGCGTGGGGACAGGAAAAACAGGCTTTAAAACTGTTAGCGTCGATCGAAGAGTAGTTGCATCAAATCAGAATCTCATCTGCCGAACTTACAACGACGGACTCCGCGGATGCTTGACAGCCTGCTTTCACGGAGCCACGTGGCGAGCCAGTCCGCCGTGAAAAAGTTTCGCGATAATAAAAAAAGCACGACAGTTTTCTCCGAAAATGCGCGACTCCGTTGACAGGTGACATAAAGTCGCGGAAATTTCGCGAGCGTCATCGCTGTCTCCGAGATCGTATAATAATTCTATCGCGCTAGTCACCGGCCGATTTTAGAGTTACTAAGATTATAGTAACTCTAGCCGATTTTTCGAGTTTCAACGAGATCGATTCGCGCTGCTGGTGCAGCTGCTGACGAAGTAAATAACAGCCGTGATCCCGTTGGGATGGAACAGCTCGACGATCGGTTGAATCGGTTCTCGCACGTTAATCGATTCCGACCGCGACGAAGAGACCGCGGCAGCACATTTCTCACACGTGTGACATTCTCACGTGTCCGCGCGTGGCGTATAAGAACCGAACTAGGTTCTTAACTTCTTAGGCGCGCACGTTCGAGAGCTCTTACGCAAATATTATCATTCGCGTGAACATGTATGTGTTGCCCGAGCGTCATCAACGTCGCGCGCGGGAAAACGTGCGTGGCGGACCTCTCCTGCGCGGCTTCGTCGAGATGCAACTCGCCGAAAACGCGCCTCGGGGAGAGACCCGGAGTTCGAAGGATCTCTCCCCAGACGTCATCGTTTGGGACGACGGCGGGCGGGATGCTGCCTGCCGTCGTCGGTTATCTGTACGTAACGAATGAGCGACCGTGCGAGATTGCATCGCCGCACGATGATGCATCGTCGCTCCCTCGAGCGAATCTATCGTTCGTGTGACGCATATGTGCGCCAAAGACAGACACATTTCATTATATAGGATTTAATTATATACCATAAGATCTAGTACTTACGTATTATAATTATTATATTGTGGTATAATTAATTCCGTTTAAGCGATATATATATTATATGTATATTATATATATATATATATATATATATATATATGTGTGTGTATATGTATGTAT